GGGAGGCTGAGGCAGGAGACTTGCTTGAGCCCAGTGGGAGGTTGCTGTGAGCTGAGATGCCACGGCACTCTACCCAGGGGGACAGCTTGAGGCTTCTGTCTCAAAAAAAAATAAAATAAAAAATAAAAAAAATAAAAGAAAGCCCAAACAAGTAGGAAGACATATTTGATCTATGTCATTATTTTTCTATATTAAAGCTTAATATCGTTTATATGAAATGTACTTGGCTTCAAAGTTATTTGCTATTCCTTTATTGTGCTGACCATAAGAGCTGATATTACTTGTGAGTGTTTCTTTACTGAAGGCTTTATATTGTTTTTTTTTCATTTTGAGGCTTTGTCCAGCTTTCTAGCAAAAGAATAGCCACTGATTTAGGTATATAGGTATCATTTAATATAGAAAATATAATATTTCTAGGCTTGGCATCTATAGCACAGTCGTTATGGAGCCAGCCATATACAGCAAAGCTGGAGGGTTCAAACCTGGCCCGGGTCAGCTAACTAACAATGACAACCACAGGCAGCGCCTGTGAGTAGGGTGCCAGCCCCATATACCAAGGGTGGTGGGTTCAAGCCCTGCCCCAACCAAACTGCAACAAAAAAATAGCCAGGTGTTGTGGCGAGTGCCTGTAGTCCCAGCTACTCAGGAGGCTGAGGCAAGAGAATCACCTAAGCTCAGGAGTTGGAGGTTGCTGTGAGCTGTGACACTACGGCACTCTACCAAGGGTGATAAAACGAGACTCTGTCTCTTAAAAAAAGAAAAAAAAAAAAAAAAACGACAACCACAACAAAAAATAGCTGGGTGTTGTGGCAGGCTCCTGTAGTCCCAGCTACTGGGAGGCTGAGGCAAAAGAATTGCTTAAGCCCAGTTTGAGGTTTCTGTGAGCTATGACACCATAGCATTCCACTGAGGGCAACATAATGAGACTTTGTCTCAAAAAATAAATAAAATAATAATATTTCTTTATTAAAGCTTAATATCGTTTACACGAAACTCACTAGTTTTGAATGATTAAAATTTAAAGTTTATATATGCCATATGTACTCTTAACCTTTTTAAAAAAAAAAAGTCAGTCTTACTCCATCACCCTGGGTAGAGGGCTGTGGGGTCAGAGCTCACAGCAACCTCACACTTTGGGGCTCAAGTAATCCATTTGCCTATAGCCACCTGCCACGATGCCTGGCTATTTCTTCTATTTTTAGTAGAGATGGGGTGTTGCTCTTGACCAGGCTGGTCTCAAACTCCTGAGCTCAGGCGATCCACCTGCCTTGGCCTCTCAGAATGGTAGGATTACAGGTGTGAGCCACTTTGCCCAGCCTGTATCATATCTATTTTCAAAAAATTATTTATTAGAAATAAGGTCTTGCTCTGTCACCCAGGCTAGAGTGCATGATCATAGCTCACTGCAGCCTCCAAATATTTGGCTTCAGTGATTTGCCCACCTCATAATTTTTTTTTTTTTTTTTTTTGGCTGGGGCTGGGTTTGAACCCGCCACCTCTGGCATATGGGGCTGGTGCCCTACCTCTTTGAGCCACAGGCACTGCCCCCACCTCATAATTTTTTAAAAATTTCTTGTAGAGACAAGGTCTCATTATGTTGTCCAGGTAGGTCTCAAACTCCTGGGCTTAAGTGATCCTCTTGCCTTAGCCTCCCAAAGTGCTAGGATTATAAGTATAAATCACCATGCAAGCCAACACCTATCTGCAGATCCATTTGTTTCACAAAATTCACTCACCATTCTATTTTTTTTTCTTATTAGGGGGACAGAGTCTTAATATGTCGCCCTAGGTAGAGTACCATGCGTCACAGCTCACAACAACCTCAGACTCTTGGGCTTAAGCGATTCTCTTGCCTTAGCCTCCCAAGTAGCTGGGACTGCAGGCACTCGCCACAATGCCCAGCTATTTTTGTTGTTGTTGTAGTTGTCATTGTTATTTAGTAGGCTGGGAGAGTTCGAACCCACCAACTCCAGTGCATGTGGCTGGCACCCTACCCACTGAGCTACAGGCCCTGAGCCTCACCCACCATTCCATAATCAACTGGCTACTGCTTCCGAAGTAAATCCTCCAAGTTAAAACAGAAGATCCTGAATTGCAATGTCCTGATAGGACATTAGCGCCTAAATAGGTACCATTCTTTTACCAGAAAGCTGGACAAAGCCTCAAAATAAAAAGAAACAAGCACTCAGTAAAGAAACACTACCACGTATCATAAGCTCTTGTGTTCAGCATAATAAAGGAATAGTAACTAACTCTGAAACCAAGTATGTACTAGGCATTGATTAAGATAATCTGTGTAAAACACCTTCACTACAACGCAAAATATAGATATTATTCCCATTTTATGGATGAAAAACTAAATACAAACTGATTTGAGATTCTGATTCCAATCCAGAGTCCATATTCTGAATCAAATGTATTCCCACAAAAATTTGGAAGTTTTTCTGTTTGCAAGGAAGATTCTTTATATGTATAAATAATCCAGCATATGAGATCTATTCTAGTTCCTAAAACACATAAAAATTGTACTTAATTTCCATTTCATTATTATATCTTCTGTATATTATGACTTACCAATCTATCAAGTATATATCTGGTGTAAGACTATAAGACTTGAAATGAAGAAATAGTTTGGAGAGATTTTCTTCAAAGAATACTTCAAATGCTGCAAAATATTTCAACATCTATGGGTAGAAAAATTAATAAAATTATGAAAGAGTAAACTCTAGAAATCAATAAATTAAATCCTTAAATGTTAACAGAATATCTTGCTAATTTAAGCACTTTTTTTTTTAGAGACAGTCTCACTTTATCGCCCTCAGTAGAGTGCCATGGCGTCATAGCTCAGAGCAACCTCCAACTCCTGAGCTTAGACAATTCTCTTGCCTCAGCCTACCGAGTAGCACAGGAACTCACCACAACATGTGGCTATTTTTGTTGTTGCAGTTTGGCAGGGGCCAGGTTTGAACCTGCCACCCTTGGTATACGGGGGTGGCGCCCTACCCACTGAGCCACAGGCACTGCCCAATTAAGCACCTTTTTGACTCTTCAAGCATTCAGAAACTAATACAATGAAAAGTTTATATTAGACTGAATTATCTTGGTCTTCTCATTATTGCTTTTTACTCTAAGAGGGTAATCAGACTATAAAAACATATAGGAAAACACAATCCATTCCAGATGTTCATACCATACTATGATCCACACGAAAAAAGGCCAACTGGCATGGCTTATTCAGGAGATTTGCAAATGCAATGAAGGCATCTGCCTCTTCCAAATTGAGAATGAGTACTGCTGCAATGAAAGACATCCCTTGGACCTTCAAAGGGAAAAAAAATTGGTCAAAATGGATTTACAGTAATAATTTCATACATTTTATTTTGTTGTATTCCCCCAAAAAATTACAAAGTGACATTACAAAGTAGAATTAACCAGGCTTTGTTTCTTGCCAGCAAAGGTACACACAGAGAACCCTTAATAATTATAAAATCTCCTTAATTTTACATTTCTTTCTCTTTTTTTTTTTGAGATAGAGTCTCACTATGTCGCCCTCATAGAGGGCAGTGCACAGCATCACAGGTCATAGCAACCTCAAACTCTTGGGCTTAAGCAATTCTCTTGCCTCAGCCTCCCAAGTAGCTAGGACTACAGGCATCCACCACAAAGCCCGGCTATTTTTTTTTTAATTTTGGTAGCTGTTATTGTTTGGCAGGCCTAGGTGGGTTCAAACCCGCCAGCCGTGGTGTATGTGGTTGGCACCCTAGCTGCTGAGCTACAGGCACTGAGCCAATTTTACATTTCTTGTTCACGTGATGTGGTTTAAAAAAATATTAGGGAAAATTTTTGAAACAAGAAAAATATATCAGCTTTTACTTGCTACAAAAGCCTATCTCAATGTGCTATCGATCTAGTTTTCATTTTCTCTGTCTGAATTCTTTTAAAAATACAATAAGAATCACAAAGTGTAATGAAAATAAGGTTATTCTTTTCATTACTATAACACATTTGAGTGGAAAAATGAGGAATTAAGAATAAAAGAGATCTATGAGAGTGCTGCTAAAATTCTAAGAAAGGGCTCGGCACCCATACCTCAGTGGTCAGGGCACCGGTCACGTACAAGGGGGCTGGTGGATTAAAATCCAGCCCAGGCCTGCTAAACAATGACAACTGCAACAAAAAAATAGCCAGGCATTGTGACAGGCACCTGTAGTCCCAGCTATTTGGAAGGCTGACCAAAGAGAATCGCTTAAGCCCAAGGGTTTGAGGTTGCTGTGAGCTGTGATGCCACAGCACATTACCCCAGGTGACACAGTAAGACTCTGTCTCAAAAAAATAAAAATACATAAAAATAATTTAAAAAATAAAATTCTAAGAAAGGAGAGGTTGTGGGGAGCTGAGAAAATAAGTCTGGATTCCTGGAAAAGCAGGAGAAAGAAACAGGAAAAAACCATTCTAAGAGGGAAAAGAAGCATGAGTAAAGATACAGAAATGGAACAATAGGACCAGCTCAGCCAGATCACAAGATTTATAACGGGAATAAAAGGAGATATATGAGAAAAAATAGGATGTATTTACATTGTGAAAAGCCTTGAGTAAAAGGCTAAGCTGTGTAGATGTTTGCTTGTGAGTTACTGATAGCTACTGTATATTTCTTTAATTAAAAAAAATTATCAAGCACTTACTCTGATAGAGGTTTGGATAATGGACTTACACAGGGAGACAACTAAGAATAACTATAGTGATACCTCTGTTTCTTCTTCACAGCCAAATATTTTAAATGGGCTGCCTACAGTTTTTGTTTTCTCTGCTCTTTTTTGGTTGCAGCCGTCATTGTTGTTTGGTGGGCCCGGGCTAGATTCAAACTCGCCACCTTAGGTGTATGTGGCTGGCGCCTTAGCCACTTGAGCCACAGGTGCCGCGCCTTTTTTTACCCTTTAACACACTTCAATATGGATTTCACTACATTACTACATTATCTTGAAGTTTCCCTTGCCAACATGACCAATAATACTTATTGTAAAACCCAGTGGGTACTATCCTACCCTCTTAGCAGCATTCGTTTAGCTTCTGCAATCCACTATTCCTTTGTTTTCATCCTAGTTCTCTGGCTTCTTCTGAATATTCTTGCAGACTCCACAGTAATTGCCTATTTGATTTTCTAGAATATAAGCTCCATGAGGATAGAGATTAGAGTAGGTATAATAATTACTCTCCACAATATAAATCCTTTCCCCAGAACCTGTGAAAATGTTGCTAGACTTTGCGGATTTGATTAACTTAGAATCTTGAAATGGGAAGATTATCTTGAATTATCTAGAGGAGCCAAAGTAATTATCACAAAGATATTTGTAAGTGAAAAAGGGGGAGGCAAGAGAGTTAAAAGGACATGAAGATGCTGCATTGCTAACTTTGAAGATAGAGATAGAAGGTCATGAGCCAAGGAACACAGGCAGTCTCTGTCGAGAAGGTGGAAAAGGAAAGGAAATGGGTTCTCCCTTAAACCTCCAGAAGAAATACAGCTCTGCCAATACCTTGACTTGAATCCACTAAAATCTGTTTCAGACTTCTGACCTCCAGAAGAGTAGGATAATAAACTTGTATTGTTTAAAGCCACTAAGTTTGTGGTAATTTGTTACAGCAATGATAAGAAACTAATAGATCAGACCATGTCTGTTCACGATTATATTCTTAGTACTGTAATATATGCTGAATAAATAAAAGGGGCAAAGTGTTAACCAACCATTTACAATAGAATGCTAGCAAAGCAAATAGTAGGTAGAAGGGATTAAAATGATATTTAATTGACTCTAAGATGCTGTTTATTATGGTTTTTTTTTTTTTTTTTTTTTGAGACGCAGCCTCAAGCTATCCCCCTGGGTAGAGCACCATGGCATCACACTCACAGCAACCTCCAACTCCTGGGCTCAAGCGAGTCTCCTGCCTCAGCCTCCCAAGTAGCTGGGACCACAGGCGCCTGCCACAATGCCTGGCCATTTTTTTTTTTTTTGGTTGCAGCCATCATTGTTGTTTGGCGGGCCCGGGCTGGGGATTCGAACCCGCCACCTTAGGTGTATGTGGCTGCTGCCTTAGCCTCTTGAGCCACAGGCGCCGAGCCCTGTTTATTATGTTTTGTTGTTATTGATACAGTCTCACTCTGTTACCCAGGCATCAGCCTAGATCAGCAACCTCAAACTCTTGGGTTCAAGCAATCCTCCTGCCTCAGCCCCCACCTCTACCCCCTAGTAGCTTGGACTACAGGCACCTGCCACAACACCTGGCTAATTTTTCTGTTTTTAGTAAAAACAGGGTATCGCTCTTGCTCAGATTGGTCTTGAATTCCCGAGCACAAGTGATCCTCCCCCATCAGCCTCCCAAAGCACTAAACTTATGAGTGTGAGCCACCATACCTGGCCTAAGATGCTGTTTATTGTGACATCATTATTTTATAGATCTTTTTTTTTTTTTTTTTGAGACAGAGTCTCAAGCTGTCACCCTGGGTGACCTGGCATCACAGCTCACAGCAACCTCAAACTCTTGGGCTTAAGCAATTCTCTTGCCTCAGCCTCCCAAGTAGCTGGGACTACAGGCACTTGCCACAATGCCTGGCTATTTTTTTTTTGTTGTTTTTGTTATAGCTGTCATTGTTGTTTGGTGGGCCCGGGCTGGATTCAAATCCGCCAGCTCTGGTGTATGTGGCTGGCCCCCTAGCTGCATGAACTACAGGCACTGAGCCTATAGATTAATTTTTAAAAATCCTGACACTTAAGCAATGATGTAATATTTTATTACTAAAAAATTTTATTTAGGCATATGTATAAAGCTATTTATAGCTTATTCAGATTTAGCAAATATAACTCTTATGCATATATGGAAGAAACAAATGAGAAAAACAAAGTAATTTCTTCAATTTTATTGGAGTCCAATTCTTCTGAACATTCTGTATTACTTATCAACTAATTCCTGGAGTGATACACTAAAAAGGACACTTTCCCCCCCTTTCTGGATTTCCTGGAGAAAAGGACACATTGTTTATGCAATATTCCTGTCAAAAATGTTTAACCTGAATCTAATCATGAGAAAATAATCACACAAATACAAATTAAGCCTCATTCTGCAAACAACTAGGCTTAACACTTCAAAAATGTCATTCATGACAGGTAGAAAGGCTGAGGAACTACAGATTACTACAGAATTTGAAGCTCCTGTGTAACCCACCTACTTTCCGTTATTTGAAGTTCTTCTCTCTTCTTCTATGCCTAGCTAGAACAAAGAAGTCATCTACTCAGATTTCCCATTCTTTATTATCTTTGCAGACATACAGACTTTTCTTATTTGGAAGGATTTACTGGTAATAACTACAGACAAAGAGAACTATAACAAAAAATAAATGGGAGTAGTGATATGAAACTTACAAAGTTCTTAGTAATATGTGACTCCTGGTCTCCAGTTTCTAGCTCCTCCTGAGATATTGGGAAATTTAAATGTATCTTCTCCCTTCCACTTTGATGATACACTCACCCTATGGCTCAGTTCACTGTAAGTGCCAGAAGATACAATCTAGGCAAAATAGTAGCTACCTCCTTGCTTAAAAAAAGAAAGTTTGTGGCTCGGCGCCTATAGCTCAGCCGGCTAAGGCGCCAGCCACGTACACCTAAGGTGGCCGGTTCGAATCCCCAGCCCGGACCCGCCAAACAACAATGACGGCTGCAACCAAAAAATAGCCGGGCGTTGTGGCAGGTGTCTGTGGTCCCAGCTACTTGGGAGGCGGAGGCAGGAGACTCGCTTGAGTCCAGGAGTTGGAGGTTGCTGTGAGCTATGATGCCATGGCACTCTGCCCAGGAGGACAGCTTGAGGCTCTGTCTCAAAAAAAAAAAAAAAAGAAAAAGAAAGTTTGTACCAGACAGGTTAACACTAGGGTGACCAGATGTCCCGATTTTGGCGGGACACTCCCGCTTTTCAACAATTTGTCCCATGTCCCACGGCGTCCGATTTTTGGAAAGAATGCACCAACGGAAGGGAATATATGGTTTTCGGCCACTATATGGCTATTTCTCCAGAATATAAGTTTTATATTATTTTTGTTAATTTTATAATGTTAAACTGTAATAAATAATTGCTGAGAAGTGATTATCGAGAACTGCTTATCAAAGTTTGCATTGTTGTCAGGCCCTGGCTCCGCCCCTGCTCCGCCCTCGCTCCGCCCCCCGGCCATGTTGTCCCGCCTTACAGATGTAAAATCTGGTCACCCTAGTTAACACTCAAAACTCACCCAGAACTGCTTGATCTATCCAGAAGGATCTATAACCATTTCCTCAGCATGGAAAGCTAACAGGATTCAACCATCTAAACAGTGGTGGTCTTAAACTGGATGAGCATACCTTGGGAGATACATAAAGACTTTCTAAAGTACACTGTCAAGAATAACTTAAAAAGGCTTGGCACCTGTAGCTCACTCAGCATCTAGAGGACCAGCCACATACATGGGGCTGGCAGATTTGAACCGAGCCCGGGCCTGCCAAACAACAATGACAACTACAACAATAATGACAACAAAAAAATAGCCGGGTGTTGTGGTGGCCGGCACCTGTAGTCCCAGCTACTTGGGAGGCTAAGGCAAGAGAATCACTTAAGCCCAAGAGTTTGAGGTTGCTGTGAGCTGTGATGGCCACAGCATTCTACCAAGAGCGACATAATGAGACTCTGTCTCAAAAAAAAAAAAAAAAGGAATAACTTAAAGAGAATTTAGTCCTAGATCCTCAATTTACATATGTATTCTTTTCTAAACATGATCTTTCTGAGAACACTACTGCATTCACAGTGAAAAGTGAAAGTTATAGTTCTTACCCATTACACAACTTAATAGGAATTACTGTGAGGTATGCAAGGTGTAACCAAGGGATAATTCTAAATACTGGTTGGAGAAAGCTTCTGGCTTCTAGTCATATTTTTGATACATGAATATGTAAGACTGAATCCCATTATATGAAAAAATGATAATTTTGTGTCCTCATCGCTTCTGTACCACACCTATTATCAAAGAGTACATAGCCCTCAAAGGAGAGTCCCAGGAGAACAAATAAAGAGAACAGCAAAAGCAATACAACTTGGTGACTGTGCTCTTTTGAATATGGTATAACTGCAATGTGAACCAAGATTACCAAATTTTTCAAGAATAAAACCCACAGATAAAAATTTGTCATGACTTACAGACTCAGCATGTGTTATTAGTATAGTTAACCTATTTTTTCAAATCATGACATAAAATCTTTAATACAATATAGTCTGCACTATTCTTACAATGTAAGTCTGATTTAGCTGATTGGTTATGTGGTGGTCATTTTACAGAAATGCAATGGCCTAACAGTGATCACTTCAGCAGCACATATACAATGACCTAATATAATAGGCAGCCAGGGTTAAAAAAAAAAATCTAGCCTAAAATGTCAGTAATAGATTATTTTGATTAGTCTCAATAAAGGCTTTGGTATGCTATAGTTTCTAGAAACTGAGAAAAGGAATGATTCTAATAATTGGTAACAAGTGTTTTTGCAAGTCAAGTGATTAAGTCTTCTGTTTTCAATGAAACTGAAGGAGAACCTAATTGAGTTATCGGAGATAAATTTTTTAATGTTTTTCTTTTTGCATTTATTATCCAATTTCTCAAATGAATCTTTTGTTTTCATTAGTTGTTTACTAATAATTACAATAACACAAATCAGAAAAAGAAAATTTAACATTTAGAATGTGTATGAGATCACTTCTTGGCCTTCTGGCTAAGATCAAGTATAGAATGTATATAAAAAAAAACAAATTCAAAATTTTAATTCATTTATGTATTTGTAGCACAAGAACAATAGGATGATCACTAGAAGACTTCTGAATCAAAATATATATTACATTAGAATAAAATTTTCTGGGAAAAATGAAATAGAAATAACCCCTTCTTATCTCCACTTTCACCTTCCACAGTTTTAGTTATCTATGGTTGGTCTTTGTCCAAAAATACTAAATGGCCAGTTCCAGAAATAAATAAGTCATAAGTTTTAAATTGCACACCTTTCTGAATAGTATAAAATTTGGAGCTGCCCCATTCCATTCTGCCCAGAACATCATGCCCATCCTATCCAGGCATCCTGCTGTGGCGGGTGCCTGTAGACCCAGCTATTTGGGAGGCTGAGGCAAGAGAATCACTTGAGCCCAAGAGTCTGAGGTTGCTGTGAGCTATGACACCACTGCACTTTACCTGGGGAACAGAGTAAGACTCTGTCTCAAAAAAAAAAGAAAAAAAGAAGTATTAAGAGGACAAAGAAAATGGAAAATGATATAAGCAGTAAATAATGTCAATAGCATTTTAGAAATTTTAATTTAAGTGGAGAATGTTGAAACAAAAATTATCTCCATTCCAGGAGGAATCCAATAATCAGCAAGCCAATTCAACCATAAACTCCTGGAAGGTTCAGGAAATGAAGTTACCAGGTACCTCTGAAATTGGAAGGGTAGGGCTAAAACAGATTTCATTGAAAGTCTGAAAAAGGGGCTTGGCGCCTGTGGCTCAAGTGGCTAAGGCGCCAGCCACATACACCTAAGGTGGTGGGTTCGAATCCCCAGCCTGGGCCTGCCAAACAATGATGGCTGCAACCAAAAAATGGCCAGGTGTTGTGGCAGGCGCCTGTAGTCCCAGCTACTTGGGAGGCTGAGGCAGGAGACTTGCTTGAGCCCAGGAGTTGGAGGTTGCTGTGAGCGTGATGCCATGGCACTCTACCCAGGGGGATAGCTTGAGGCTCCGTCTCAAAAAAAAAAAAAAAAAAAAAAAGTCTGAAAAAGGAGCAAATGTCCTCTCCCATTTTGTATGGATAGATGCCTACCCTTTCCTTAATATAGCAGAACATACATGACTTATTCTCTAGAATTATAGTCAGAGAAAAAAAAGGGTTAGGGAATAAGGCACCATATGACAGTAGAGGTGTTAAATAAAAGTTTTCAAAATTACATGGTAAAGTTCTCCACAGTTCTCCCAGAAAGCTGGCAGCCAGTCATATAATTTCCTGGCAAGAGTTGGAAAAATTCCTCTCTGACTAAGCCAATAAGCCCCCAAATTCATAACAATACAGACATTTGGGAACTAATACAACATAAGATATTTTGATAAGAGGAGAGATATGTTTATACTAAAAAACCAAATTGAAACAAATACTTACATAACCAACATCAGGTCTGTAACATGTATATGCCCCTAAGATACTATGTAAGACATCATGATATGGACCACCCTTAGGAGAGAAAAATGAAATTTGAAACTATACAAATAATTTTCTCTAACTTAATTCTCATATAACATATTAATAAACTATAGCATTTCCCAATGACTGGCTTTAAGATATTTAACAATTGACAAAAATATTCTAAATGTATTTTGCCAAGATGTTTTCTGAATTATTAATGGGAAATATTTAATTTTGAACACAAAAAGCCATGTAAATCCATTTGATGGATATAAGCTACATAATTTGCAAACAATTTTAAAGTCTTCTAGATCTCCTGAGTATGATGACTACAGACTGTTTCATTTTATATGCCAATGTCAGCAAGAAAAAATCATCAAGCTATACTAAATTAAGTTTTATTAACAATTTAATCATAACAGTACAAATTGTCATCTATTTTCTATCAATCTACAGATACTTGAATTCTATGTATAAAGATTCAACTCAAATATAAGTACATATAAAATATAGTCATTTCTCACAAAGTGTAAGTAAGCAACTTCATAATCGCCTCTGTACCAAAAAAATGATTTCTTCCTATTTCAATGGTAATTCTAAAAAATTTTAAGTTTTATGACTAAGTTCTTTATATTTTAACAGTTAACAAAAGATTAATACAAATATCTTACAGAATAAAAAGCAAAGAAAGTCACCATAATAAAAATTCATCAAGAACCTACTACATAAAAGGTATTACATCCTAGGTTAACTATAATGTATTCTAGTCAGTAGAATAAAATAATAGAAATTCCTTCAAAAATTTCCTATTTTTATGTTTTTTATATTAAGGCCTCCAATTTTTCTAGTTTTTCCTTCTTATAATAAAAATGATAGCTGTGCACTTAGAGAATTTGTTCCATTGGACATTAAAAGATCTTTTTTAAGTAGTTACCACTGGCTAGAAACCCTCACCTTCTGAAAGATGTAGAGAGATGGAAACGTACGGGATATGTCCAACTTAATTAACTCCAGACTGGCCTCTCGATCAGCAACAGATACACCTGCATTTGCCAAGTAGATAAATTTAAATGATCACTTGGCTGTAACAAGTTCAGTTTTATAAACATAGAATGATCACATAGTATATGTGCTATTTAAGGAAAGTTAAAAGCTGAATAATCAAGAAATTACAAGAAATGTCACATGGCTTTTGTTAGAACTTATGAAGAATAATATCTATTCATTTATCACATTTATCAGAAAGTTATACGGTGAAGGATTTCTGCTTCCAGTTTTTATAGAAAATAGAGGTAAAACATCATTCTCATGTTAACAACTAGGAAAAAAATACAAATATCACATTTAAAAAAAAATCAGAGAGTTCTAGATAGAGACCTAGAGGATTTAAATTCCAGAAAGAAAAGATCCTTTCTGAGGTAAGTGGATATGTCAGTGGCCGTTATCTTCCTAGAGGCATCTGCCAAGTCTGGGCATGGGCTTAGGATCAAACTTGGCATAGATAAAGGTATTCTGCCTGGGAAAAGAGAAACCAGAAGAGTTTTTCATGGCCAAATAAGACTGAGGTGATAGTAATCTGGTGATATGAAGGTATATGTGATTTTCCCCTTTGAGACTTTTCTGGGTGCTGGCCAGGCTGGAAGGGAGAATGAAATCACCCAAGTCACATGATTCTTAGGAGAGTGTCTCACTAGATCAGTAGTTTTCAACCTATGGGTCACAACCCCTAAAAATGAAAATACATCCTGCATAGCAGATACTTACAATTCATAAGAGTAGCAAAATTACAGTTATGGTAACCTTACTGTAGTCTTACTGTATGAAGTAGCAATGAAAATAATTTTATGGTTGGGGGTCACCACAACATGAGGAAGTGTATTAAAGGGTCACAGCATTAGGAAAGTTAAGAACCACTGCACTAGATAGGGATGGTTATAATCAAAATAGGACAATTCTGGGAGCCACCCATAGCTCAATAGTTAGGCACCGGCCACATGCTCCCGGGCTGGTGGTGTCAAAACTGGCCTGGGCCTGCTAAACAAAAAAATGGTTTGGGGCCCGTAGCTCAGTGAGTAGAGTGCCAGCCACATACACCAAGGCTGATGGGTTCGAGCCCTGGACCTGCTGAACAACAATGACAACTGCAACCAAAAATAGCCAGGCATTGTGGCAGCTGCCTGTAGTCCCAGCTACTTGGGAGGCTGAGGCAAGAGAATCGCTTAAGCCCAAGAGTTTGAGGTTGCTGTAAGCTATGATGCCACAGTACTCTACTGAGGGCGACAAAGTAAAACTTGTCTCAATTAAAAAAAAAAAAGACAATTCTTCCCAAACCTCATAGAAACTAAATTTATCTCAAGCTACAACCTTGCCCAACCTAGCTCAATTACTGATTTAATTGAGGTGATAAACTATAATCCAACTGCCTAACAGGAAAGAGCATGCTTCCTCAGCAAAAGTAACCTCTGCAAATGTATGTTATATAAAATGTCTGGCATACATTTTTAAAATGTAAGATATGCAAAGCAGGAGGAAAATGTGCCTTATAAGCAAAGAGAAAACCAGCAATAGAAGCAGATCTGCAGATAATGAAGTACTAGAATTAACAGATAAGAATGTTATTATAAGAGAAAAGAAGAAAAGATGAAGAAAATGTATGAGATAGAATGATGAAAACTTTCAACAAAGAAATCAAATTTATAAAAAGAACAAAGTTCATCTAGAATTACAAATATCTAAAATTAAAAACTCACTAGACAGATTTAATAATAGATTGGATACAGCAGAAGAAAGTATTAGTGAACTTGATCTCAGATCAATAAAAATCATTGAAACTGAAGCACAGAAAGAAAAAAAATGTTTTTAAAGTAAGAGCTTAGTTCAATGTAAACATTTTACATTATGTATCGAAGCTGTACCCTGAACCCCATAAATGCATCTATGTACAAATTTATGATTTAATAAAAAATAATTAATTAAAAAAAAAAGTACATAAGAGGCTTATGAAACATTGTTAAATAGCCTAGCATACAAATAACTAGAGTCTCAGAAGAATAAGTGAGATAAGTAAGAAGCAGTATTTAAAAAGATAATGGCCAAAAAGCTAAATTACTATTGCAAATTATAAACATTTAGGAAATAAGAAAATAGTAATTTAAATAGAACACTACTTCTGTTTGGATCTGTCCATAACATTCAATTTATTTCTACTGAAGTGCAATCATCATCATTTATTTATGATAAAATGTTTCAGAAGTGAATGTTCATAATTTTAACTCTTATAATTTTAATACTTCATAAAAATGAATTTTGAAAGAATGATGAAATGGCTGATTCCCTGCCAGTATAAAGCTTTTACATCTTCAACTGCTGTACACTTTTAGTTCTCCACTAACAGCTGACATATCTAACAGGCCTCAGGATGATACTAAGACTCTAAATCAAGTTTCCTCTCTAATCTTTGTCAATTTTCTTCATCAAAATCTTTACTTTTCTAAAACATAAAAAAGAGCTTTCAAATTATTTAGCAGAGTTGTTTATACTCAGGTAAGCACTATGAGATATATACCTGTTCTCTCCCCAAAGCTGTGTTCATTTTAGAGTTTTACTTATACGCAAGAGAAGAGGTTTGCTTTCTATGAAGTTTAACAAATATGGAAAAGTGACTGGCAAAAATAGGCCCCCATTATTCAAGGAGAATAAATGGTTAAATAAATTTACCTAAATTTGATAAACCATGATAACAAGAAAAGTGTTCCTGTTTTCTCCAAAATGTTTAGCTAAAAAAAAAAAATAAGGGTGGAGGGAAAAGATGGATCTACAGGTCAGTTAAACAAACAAAGGAGAAGGCATAATAAGAATTATAAATAAGTGGGCAGCGCTTGTGGCTCAAAGGAGTAGGGAGAAGGCCCCATATGCTGGAGGTGGTGGGTTCAAACCCAGCCCTGGCCATAAAACTGGAAAAAAAAAAAA